CAAGCAGTGAAGCAAAAGGGAATGACAAATCCTTGGGATAGACATAAGGAAGAAATTCACATCCTTGAATAGTATACAACACAACACGATATGCTACAATGGACCCACCATTTTAATTCCAATGCTTTCAATTTTTCGATTTCATGCAGTTTCAATACACCTCTTGAAAAAGTTGAATAATATTTATGAAATTTTTTTGGTAGAAACAAAATACATAAATTTCAAACAGTCTGATCCCCCCCATACACACCTACTTGTCATTTACATGGAAAATTACAAAGCTTAAAAGGTTAGGGAAATGAGAGGTCTACATCAGTGAGGGGGTCAAAACACCAGTGAAAATCAGTAAAGTAACAATAACTGTTTTATCCTAGTATCGGACTCCTCAGCAGCTCACATCTATGACCACGCCGCACCAGGGGTCGAACTCAGGACGTCCAGGTTCCGTGGCCGGCATGTTATCATTGAACTAGCCACCGGATCGGTGGAATCAAATGATTCATATTTCCAACTTACGTCAGTACATGATGTCACTACGACTATCACGTGACGTCATCGTTGAGTATTTATCCTCACAGCCAACCGCCCTCCTGAATATCCAATGAGAAGTTGTGACCGGTGGGGCGAACATGTTGGGTATGAGGACAGATACTTAACGATGACATCGGGTGATGATCACGCTATTTCGCGAACTGAAAGAAATTGGAAATATGGATCATTAGATTCCGTCGAACCAGTGCCTGCCTCAATGGTAACGTAGTGGTCAAACAACAACAACAATGAAACGATCTATTTACAGAAAGCCTACATAGACAAGACGGAGATGTTGATGGAGGACAACTAACCAATAAAGTGGACGATAGAAAGATATTTTTATCAAGCTTTGATGATGTATATAGCTTGATAATTAGACAAAGATTTAACGCTGCCATCAATAAAGATATATTCTGCGGTTAAGGCTCGTATAATTGAGAATTTAAAGCTTATATTATCCATCAACGTCATTGGAACAGATAGATGACATCACATCCCGTTGTAAGTATGGTCATAAGTATACAGGGAGGATTCATAGGTCATTGTTAATATAAGGGACATAGAATGGGTCGCCGAAATGGAGAGGGGGGGGCATAAACGTCATTTACATCCATTAGAGAAGGGTTTAATCTATTTTTATACTTTTAAAAACAATATATCATCACATTAAACATCTCCTAAGATCATTCTATTGATTTTCATTGGTATTCTGACTTTCATCAATATAGACTTCTCATATGATTGATAACCATTTCGCTAATCGTTTAACCCTGTAATTTTCCGTATAAATGACCAGTACGTGTGTGAGTGGGGGGGGGGGTACCAGATTGTTTAAAAATGTTCTGAGCGAATACATTACACAATTCAGACAAATAAACAAAACTGTCTTCTTATTCTTTTATCCGATTAGTACAGTCCCTTGGGTTCCTAGTGGAACATAGAGCTTCAGTAGCACGCCTCCATTCCACTCTCTTCTCTGCAGTCGTTTGAACCTCGCTCCACGTCTGCCCACAACCTATCATTTTTTTCCTCACACCATCTCCTCCTCTATGTCACCCTCACTCCGGACGCCCAACTCGTCGTTTCCATAAATCCCCGTATTACACAGACAATATTACAAAAAACATAAATGATTTGATAAACTAAAGGAAGGAATAGTGAAAAAGAGCCGGAATGAAAATGGTTTTTGACTGGAAAACTACGAGGTAACAGCAGCACACGCGCAATAATTCACTTCTTTTTAAACGCGGTGAAACATGACACTTACTTAATCAGTCAACATGTTCGAACGAAAGAAGCAGTCGGCAGCAAAATAACACTGGCAGACAGTATACATACAATACGGTTAATTCAAAAAGGTAGAGATTATTATACTGGAAAGAAGAGAACAAATACAACTCGTCAATCATAAAGACATTTATTTGAGCAGACGACAACGTGTCACACCTATTGTGTGTGCTGCCTAGTCGCCCAGACCTCGGTAGTAAGTGTATTATTATTATTATTACTTGTCCCTTGGAGTCCTAATGGAACACAGGGCTTCAGTAGCACGTCTCCAGTGACCTCTGTTCTCTTCAAACTTTTGAACCTGGTTCCAAGACAGACCATAAGCTCTCATTTCTTCCTCGCACGATCTCCTACATGTCACCCTCGGACGCTCAATCCGTCGCTTCCCATCTGGGTTCCACTCGAGGGCCAGGCGCGTGATGTCCCCAGTCGGCCTTCTCATTGTATGCCCAATCCATCTCCACTTCCTTCTGCATATTTGTAGTAAGTGTAGCCGGATTCAAATATCAGTATAGGGTTACTCATTAATGAAAAATTGATCAAGTTGCCAGCCGAACCCCCCACACAACGGAACGGAACGCATTCAGCTACCTTGTATACATCCATACAGTAAGGCAATAAGCGACATCTATTGCGTGATGGCTAGTGATACTACTCATGTTGCTGCACAAACCTCAGGAGGAGAAGCAGGGTTCGAACCCGAGACGCATTAGTTGATACTCATCTCTCTAAACCGCAGCACATCAAGTAACAAGGTGGTAAGATGAAGCATGAAGATACTAATTTGAATACTTTACTCGGAGTCTCCAATAACCGGTTTCTGTTGTCACGTGGACCTCATCAACTGGTTAGTCTGCATCTCTCTCTTTACAGTGATGTTATGTTTTGGTTTTCCACCTTGAACTTCCCTCAGTTAACATTGCGCTATGATGCCGACAGTTAGTAGACATGCGTTACACATATATCCCAGCCACCTTACTTGATGAAGATCCATGACTTTATTGAATTACTTTCTACTCCTCCGTAAAACTATACACACCTGATTGACTTTTGCGTTACTGACGTATTGACATCACGACGCAGCATATACATAATACGGAGGCGACGGTGGTCAAACATCTGAAACCTTATCTTGTCCTCCAACTTTAATGGCTATCTCTCGTAGTTATATAGTGGAAGAGAGTGAACAATAGATTTGGTACTGAATAGGCGATCGAATATCGCCTTGGCTCCACAGATGACGTGAATTGGCGACATATGGGTATATATAGAGATTAGCGCAACCAAAACATTGATTAGAGCAACATGGAAATAGTGAAACAAGTAAGCAAGAGAGTTTTACAAAGCATAGCAATCAACAGATACTGCAGACGTTGACTCAATTCACTGACTATTAATAAAAAAGGGATCAGCCAATGGGTAATCATTCAAGCAAATCAATTATCAGACATTAGGTCAAACGATAACATCAATTGTAAATGTTGACCTCTGACAGAGCGGAAGCGGAGGCCAGCGGAGACAAACTATTCTTACTCGTAAGCCAAAAACGATTGTATGCAGTAAATGTTGATGAATTCGCCTAACCTGACGATGGAACACTCAAGAACAAACTTCTCAAGGTTTTAAGAACACTAGACAAATATTATGCTGTTACATCTTTGGCTTAATATGAAGATATCTTGTTCGTTAGTGAATAACATGGACCCATCGATAGTAAGTCAATTGGACAAGATATATTAGTATGATTATTTTTATATCAAACAGTCGTTGATTGGACTGAATTGGTGTAGTGGTTAACGCGCTGGCGTTTGGAGCGATCGCTCCTGAGTCCGAATCCCAGTGGGAACAACATCACTCCGCACAGGGAAGCAGGTACATCCAGCTGATGAGTCCCAAATAGGACGAAATGTGCATCCCGGATTCCACTGTTAACCACGATCCATTATGGACAAGATATATGTTAGTTCTTGAGTAATATACCATTCTAAGTGCTATTTTATAATGTCATGCTAGTGATTGTAGAGGTTATTTTGTGCAGGTGGATAGTGTTAACGATGAATCACCTAGAGAGCTAAATCAGTTTCTGAATACCGCAACAATAGCAATCTTAGCAGGAGAATCCAGAATGTGCTTTTTTTATATTCGAAACTGGGTCAGCTGGAGGATAAACCCGGAACCCAGTGAATGAGTAAGTGGTGGTGTTCTCATTAGTGAGACACAGTGGTCATCGCCTGAAACGTCATAGCATTGTCCACTAGGCCATAATTGGATAGAAAAGAAGTGATATCAAAGCTTTAGAAGAAATGAACGAGTGCATACATCTGTGCTATTGTCATCGACTGGTGTTCAGCTGTCTCAGAGACTCCACAATCAAGTAACCTACACCTACTAACATGGCTTAGATCAACGGTCAGGGAATTCATCAACTGATGCCACGTCTTGGTGCTGCCAACTTCAACCCCCCTTTCAACCTAATCCAACTTCTACTGGTATCCCACATCGAGGTAGGCAGTAATTCGGCATATGCAACCCATCTCAGTCGATGAAGGTTCAAAACCTCATCCATCGATTTGCCTGTCTTCTCTAGTACCCTTCACTTGACGTTGACATTGCCCCCACACCACGATTCCATCATACAACAGGATATGATGGGCTGCAGAGTAGTATACTCGTCCGATGATGAATACTGGGATATCTCGCCCATTCGAGGAGATGCAATACCTCAAGCAAGTTAAGTGATTGATGCATTTCACACAATTAGAGTCCCTACTGGACACCCCTCAGAAATATTCACCCATGACCCCACTAAGGCAAATTAACTTGGATGTAAAGACAGTTACTCGACTCAATACAGTGGTTCAATGGGAACATGCTTGCTATGAGAACTGGAGCTTTTGGTTTTGACCTCCGACGAGGTGGGGTAATGGGTACATACTGTTGAAGTATCCAATACTAGTAGGACAAAATAGTTGTTGTCCAGTGGCTTTTAAACTACTTGATATATTAGTCCGTGATGAATACCGACCTCCAACTGTTCGTATGACCTTTCAGTTAAGATACGTGTGACGATGGTGGTTAGAGACGCCAGATGATATGACTTGGAACGGATCGGAAAAGTAGGCGGAAAATAACATCATCATCAACAATAACAACAATTAAATCGACAGAACAACACTCACCGTTTACCAAACATGAAATGCGCTATAAGAAACGCTATACCAAGACATAAGTGTATGCAACCGGTAACTATACAAGAAATACCCAAAGTTGGATTTTTTCCACCTAACCAACTTGAATTGGCTAGAATGATTGATTTTCGTCCACCAAATGAGACAACTGGATAGTCTAAAAGAAAAAAATAGGATGAAAATACTTGGTGATGACTGAAAATTTGGACCTCGGCCAGCTTCGAACCAGTGACCATCGGGGTTTCCTGCCCAATGATCTAGTGTAACTGACCACCAGATGTTTTACACGACTACTATATGACAACGTGACGCATTACTACCGTTTGATCGTATTTACACTGGTGGTTAAAAGATGTCTTTGTGTACTTTTTCGTATATGGTGGACTTACCATGCGATCGATATAGAAATTAGGCAAGACAGGTAAATTAGTCATTACAGTTGTGAACCTTCAGTGACTAAGATGATCTGAATGTGTTGCGTATACCCGGCCACTATCTACCTCGCCGTACAGTGCTTGCGGAAGTTGAAAGAAGGCTCCATATGGTCAGATCAAGACGTGACACAACAGTCCACGAAGTCTTTAACTGATGGCGTAGATCCTTTAAGTGGATAAGTGGTTGGGCAGCTTTAGTAGCAGTTGAAAATTGATCACCATCCCAAAGATGTACTCAGTCTTTCCATCTACAGCATGAATGTTTTGACCAATCTTGATTTTCAAATTACTTCTCCTCTTATAAACCTTTTTCTACCTTGATTTCAGTTTATCCAATCCACTATTTTGTTCTATACTATTGTGAAGTGTGATAACTTGGATCGATACACTTCTGTGTGAGGTTCTAGATTAGTAAGATGGGAAAAATAATTCATACTAGACAGTGAATAACCGACTTTTCCTTTACCATTATTATTATTTGTCCCTTGGGTTCCTAGTGGAACATAGGGATTCCGTAGCACGTCTCCATCCCACTCTGTTCTCTGCAATCTTTTGAACCTGCCTCCATGACTCCCCACAACCTTTCATTTCTTCCTCACACCATCTCCTCCATGTCACCCTCAGCTGGGATGCCCAACTAGCCGTTTCCCATCTGGGTTCCACTCGAGTGCCTGGCATGGCGCATGATGTCCCCGAATAGTCTTCTCATTGTATGTCCAATCCATCTTCACTTCCTTCTGTATATTTGTTGAGCGATAAGTTGTTGGTTGGTTCGTTTCTTGTTGCTTATTCTTTCTGGTCATCTAGCGTAGGCAGCTGGTGATTTATGATGTCTGTAGTTCGTTGGAAATGCTTTTCGTGACACGCCAAGTTTCTGAACCATCACATGGAAACACTGACTTCACTGAATTGGTGTTGAAAATCCAGATCTTGTTCTTTGTCCTGATTAACAGCTCTTTTAGATGATCCAAAGAAATGGGTATCAGAAACTTATGCACAGAAATATAATGTCAATTGTCTTGACCAAAGGCACATTGATGAATGGATGAGTTAACGTCGAATGAACACATAAACGTACTCTTTATGTCAACATCTCCAAGGCATTTGATTACTTCAAACGTATCTTTTAAGGAAAACTTACAGAATAACTTCTTAGTAGGATCCAATAATTCCATTAGACATTGGGTCAGCTTATGCATTGGCGACTTGTACATTGACGTAATGGGATGTAAGAGATTGTTGGGTTTGTATACTTTGGGTAAACCATAAAAATGTGGGAATCGGGATCACTTAGTTAATAGTAAAAATAACTTATTCTGATTGATCGGCTTTAGATTAAAATTACCCAATAAAACTTTCCCTGACTACACAGTAAAAACATAAAACGAAAATTCTCATTTAGTTCATTTCCTATCATAAATATTGAATATTCCTATTTATACATCTAGAATAGGACTGATTGAGCGAAGAAATGTATATTTCCTTTCAATTAGGTCTTCATCTTGGGCTCTACACTAATATATATGGGCTTACAATTTAATCAAATTACCAACCACATGGTGATGTTTCAGAAATAATGCTGTAAATAATCAAGAGAGTTACTGAAATTGGAAATATGAATATTGATAGAAACAAGGGGAAGGGGAAGGGGGAGAGGTGTACAAAGTAAACCTAGAAATTACATCATGTTGACAGCCACGGTAATGATGAAAGTGGTCGAACAAACTTCTTTCGAATACAAAGGCTACGTTTGTTTGTAAAGGTGGATTGCAATCGCCTCTGCTATGTGAAGTAACCGAGTGCCTAATCCATGTGATGGTAAATTAATTGGAATCTGATAGATGATTTTGAAGGCTTTTCTAGTAACCACTTGATGTCCTGTGTCAACTAAGTGTGCAAGTATGGAGGTCTGTATAGTTCTAATTTGTCCTTTGTTCAACCATGATGGGTGGTGCTCAGAAACTCGACGATGGAACTGCCTCATTGTACGCCCAATGTAACTAGCTCCACAGGAGCAGTTGAATTGATAAATGCACATAGAAGTGGCACAATCAGGCAGTTTGTCTTTATTTCTTGCACCTAGAATCGGGCGGTTGTAGAAGGCGGGACATAATTTAGCGGCTGGGAATGCTTTATGCAAGACTCTTTTTATGCTTTGTGTGATGATCTCACTGGCAGTGTCACTCTTAAATTGCAGCTTCGAGAAGATTTGCTACTTAGGAACTGTTGGCATTGTTGTCTTAACCCTCGTAATATTCATGTGCTTAGTTACAAACTTGTCTGGGTAGCCATTCCTACTAAGCAGATCACGGATTGTGGAGTACTCTTCCTTTATAGCATCCTCTGAGCAAATAGCTGAGGCACAGTATGCTAAGCATTTCACTAGGTTCCTTTTGTATTGGAGGTGTACAGCACTAAAGAAGTGTGTATATTGACCTGTTGATGTTGGCTTTCTATAAACACTTCGCTTCAGGGTTCCATCAGACCTTCTTACTAACAGAACGTCAAGAAATGGGATACTATCATTTTTCTCCTCTTCCATTGTGAAGTTGATTGCTTGGTGAATACTGTTGAACTTATTCAGAACAGCATTCTTATCAGTTTCACTTTTGAGAACTATAAAGGTGTCATCCATGTAACGACAATACATAACTCTAAACGGTTAATAGTATCGTCCAGTGGACCATTCTAAAGTTTTGCAAGAAAAAAATCTGCTGAGTGGGGCCAAGGGGTGACCCCATTTCAACACCATCAGATTACGGGTAGAGTTAATTGTTGAAAAGAAATTGTGCATTCATTGTACACCTCAGAAGTAGTTCTTTCAGTATGGAGACTTGAATATCTATTTCCATGCCATGCTTGGTGAGTTCGTTGCAAATAAAGTGTACTGTCTCCATTGAAGGAATGTTAGTAAAAAGAGATGAAACATTACATGAAATCATTAACTTATTATCTACTTTCAGATCCTCAATCTTTCTGACAAATCCAAAGGTATCTTTGAGACTATACTTCACAACTTCTTTGTGGAAAGGCTTCAAAAGTTGTACTAGCCACCAGTTTTTTTTAAATATCAAATATATATAACTTTATATCTACTATGATAGAAAAAAAGAAACTGTTACCAAGGATAAAATGCAACTTACTGTAATTGATAGCAATTTCGTAAGTTCCCGATGGTAGACCGTTGGCAAACTCATCTTTATGCATAACGAATGAATTTAATTTACGAAAACTCGGTAAAGCAGCTATCCTCATCCATACAATTAAATCCTCATCGGTTGGAAATGGTTTCGATGACCTTTCTTGAAGTGGTATAGGCCAACTAGGTGGTTTAATTGTATTGTTAATGGCTAAGAATAGAAGAGAAGAGAAATATGATATACATCTATCTGTACTGACCTACTACTACACTCTACATAGATCTCATGTCCGTAAACCCTACAGAATGTTGGCTTAACCTACCCGTCAGTTTCTCTACTTTAGGTCAATTCTCTAGACCAAATAAACTTTACTGACTGGAACGCCTGTTCCCTTGAGGTCTAATTGTCCTTGGTATGCTACTGTGAAGTGTGGCAATATGAATTGAGGCACTTGTATACGAGAACACTGACCCAACAAGAAGTTATTACATTCAGGTGAACATTTGATTTGCAAACTAAGAGAAAATATCATGGTAGATAGTTTTTCAATTTATCCACTCACCTGTGTGACAGCATACTAACAGACTAGGCGACAACCTTACACGTGGCTGTTAGAGGGCAACGGAACATCACCCAGAGGCAAGTTGACCTGTTTCCTGAAGTGTCCTGTCCATCGTTCCAATCGTCTACTCTGTGAGTGAATCGCAGACCCATCCTTCTCCGCTACAGTTTGATTAACCGTTGATCGTTTCGCCACAGTTTCCTTAATAAGTCGTTGCCTTTTACATCTCATTAGCCTTCGGTGTTCACCACTGTTCATGATCATTGTGTAAAGTTTTCATTTGTCTACATCTGAGCTGTTTCTGTGCCTCATTTTGCAACGAATCTGCAGGGGTCAATTTGTGCGCATCAGTTAATTCAGAAGGCCATTTAAAACACTATCTTGGAGTTCGTTAGGGGTCATCAATGTTGCTTTGTTAGCAGACTGGAGATGGTATCAGGCTTCTTCTGGATGAGTAGTTTTGTTCTGTCTCGGTAGCTATCTAGCCAGTTTCTCGCTTCAATCACCCTTAGTGTTATGATTACCGAGTTCAACTCATACCGATCTTCTTGCTATAGGCGCAGATATACACATGTTCTACAATGAGCAGCAATCTTCCACCAACACTAGTCATAAATGATTGCAATATGGTCTATGTGTATCTACCATTGAGTTGAGGTTACTGGAGATCAAGTAAGATAATGTCTTTCTCTTCATATCTGAAGTTTATGCTAGCCAGTAATAAATGGTTGTTCAGCAATGTTTTAGTCGGCGATCACCGTTATCTATTCGTTCGGCTGGCTGAGATTTTGAAATTCCCATCCGAGTGCCTTTCTCCTTGAATTAGCCTACTCACTTCTACACCTATTACAGCAACAACGTCAGGATCTCTTCCTTACATCAGGAGGACAGATAGTTTTCAGTAAGACTCACCCTTCAATTCTTCTAAAGTGCAGTCAGTCGGAGGAGATTACAGACAGAAAACGCCGAGTTCCACTATTCTTTTCAGTCTTCATGGTGTTGTTCAGTTGGACGGAACTTAAAGGAATATTAATAGGGATCCAGTCGATTAGTGCGCTTATATTACCTTAGTACTTAATGCTATACCTACAGCTGAAAGACCGTGATAACTGGCTATCATGTCTCCAGAAAATTAAAAGTGAATAAGCTCACTTCCATCCTGTATGCGTGTCTGGGCAAACACACCATACATCGATAGTTCCAGTTTCTGGAGTTTTGACTAGCGAAGGTTGACACAGAAAGCTCCAATATGCAGTTTGCAGAGAGGTTTCACGAGACAAGGGATACTGTTCTGGAAACTCGGATCGTTGTCAAGAATCATCCAGCTGGAAGAAATTTGATAAGTAGGAACGTGGACTGTGAGATGTGAAAGGAGGCTGGAAGTTAACGATGTTGGAGGTGGACATTGACGTGAGGGAACTTCAATGCTGACAGACTTGACAAGGAGGTTAGCACTTCCTAGTTATCTATAAAATGGAAGACTAATTCTTCATTAAGGCACCTGAAAAAGAAGGGGTAGTGCGTGACCGCAGAGAATGACAGGTATTTGCTCCACGTCGGTCACACAAAGTCGTTTTGAAAGTGTTATAGTTTAGTTTGTTTTTCGATCATAAGACCATTTCATTAGCATCGGTATGCAACGGAGTAAATGGAAGAGTGACACTTTAAGAGCCGATCTCTTGTAAACTCTTCTCTCCACTTCTCAGGGGGAAGGTAGCATCAGCGTGGTGGTACTGGTCGTTTAAGTGAAACACCTTACTGCTATCATATCCCAGCCCAGCTAGCAGCAGTAGGGCTTCACCAACGGAACCCTATCATAGCGTAGGGATTTACACTACAAAGCCAACTGCTTTTCGTCTTACCACTATCAAACAGACGTAGGACTTTGACGAAACAAGTGTTCCACTAGTATAGCTTGTTGCTTGATAAGCAAGCCTGACCACCATGTCTCAAGGTAGCAGCTATCGGTCAAGGCTATCGTATGCATCCAAATTTACTTCAGTACAAGCATATACTCAGGTAGTTGATCAACAATTTCTGGGAACAATATCACTCACTGAGATGCAGGTAGATCCGGCTGACGAGTTCCAAACAGGACGAAGAGTGTATTTAGTTGGATTTACCCGGTAGCCACCAAATGCACTATCAGGTTTGTTTTCATTCATTAACATTCTGATTAGACCGCCTTCCCCCCCCCCTCCCCTAACGCGTCGTAAACTCACCATTCAAATTCGGCTTCTCACTAAGACACCCGAGGGGCGTTAGTAACCACAAAATCAATTAAAAAATAACTACTAAGGTGGGGGTGACAATAATAGTTAGGATCAGCGTTCGAGTGTCTACTTTAACCCAGCTAGCCAAAGACATAACAACAGGCTGATTGTATTAGACAGAAGGATAAATTTCACGTCTAGTGATAACATACGTTTTTAGTTTCATTCAAATCTCTAATGCAGTCGAGAAATTGGAAAATGTGTCACGGAAGCAGTGATTGAACAGCCCTCTTCTTATGGGCTAAAGAATTTCAAGAAGCCCCTTTACAATGGGATAGTACGGTAACGCCAACATCTTGAAGATTATTCTTTATTCAATTTGATCTTCGCTGAACCTTATATTTTGTCTAATATCCTCATAGGTATTCTCAGTAATTTGTAGAAAAGGAAAAACCCTTAAGATTGATTGAACAGCAACTAACGAATGTCCTTAAACGACTGAAGAATGACTGATTCATTAAAGATCTTTATGAACATTTTACACCAACAAGATGATTAATTCATCGAATCTGTGGTCTACTTAAAGTTTTACGAAGGTGACCTACCCAATTTAGAATGTCAAGATTACCCTAACCATCTCATTACAAAATGGCTTTCTGAAATCCTTGATCTTGTATGAAACAGCTATCCCTTATCACTCTCTGTGTGACAAACTTTCAAATTCCTCTGCTGCATAGAAAAGGTAAATCTCAATTATACTAGTCTAAATAAATAAGTAAATAAATGAATAAATGTATAAAGGAATAATAAATATGAATAAGTCACTGATTAAATGAATAAACGAAGGTATGAATCAACACAAATGAAAAATAAAAATATATATATCAATAAATGCACGGATACAAAGGCTCGATTGGCTTTGCCAATTTGCACCACCTATGACGCCGCCGTGATATTCGTTTGTCTATTAAAAGTCGCGTGTACTGCATAGCAGTCCGCTCTGTTCTACTGTATGGCTGTGAAACATGGCCATTGAAAGTGGAAGACATGAGAAGGTTACAGGTATTTGACCACCGTTGCCTTCGTAGTATAGGAGGTATTCCGTGGTGTCACCACACCATGTGAGTAATGCAGAAGTTAGGTGTAGAGTTTTAGGGAGAAGAGGTAAGTCAGTTGACGAGGTTGTGAACCTTCATCGATTGAGATGGTTGGGACACGTACTACGTATGCCTAGTCACCGATTGCCTCGTCACACAATGTTGACTGAGGTGGGTTCAGGCTGGAAAAAGGCCCGAGGTGGCCAGACTAAAACATGGCACCAATGTATGAAGTCTGTGACTGTTGGTTTAAGCCATGTAGGACGATGCAGACTAGATGGTTGGGGTCCACGGGACAAGAGGAACCAGTGGTTGGAGACTCTAGGTGATATGGCTCAGAACCGAAGTCAGTGGCGCAGATGTATACACACATTATCCTCATCCTAACTACACTATACCGAATCTCACCATTTTGTCACTCCTCTTTCCTTTCTTCTCGTACTTTATATTTCTTTTGACTGCATTCACTTATCTTCATCCTTCACCTCACTACCTTTTTACTTGATGTGCTGATATGAGGTGTGGCAACTCGGACCGTTACGCAGTAATGCCTGGTCCCATGTTGATAATAATAATTATATATATATATATATATATATATATATATATAAATGAATGAATAAGTAAATTATTAAATGAACAAAGAAATACACAAATAAAAAAAATAAATAACTAAATGAATAATTACATGGATAAATAGATGAATGGATAAACATAAGTGTATGAATGGATATATTAATGAATAAATACACAAATAAATGAATAAACAAATAATTAAATGAATAAACGTAAATAAATAGTTAAACGAATAAATATGCGAGTAAACAGATAAACGGATAAGTATAAATAAACATGTAAATAAAAGTACAAATAAATAAATAAATAAATAAAAGCATGAATAAATAGATAATTGAATAAACATAAATAAATGAACGAATAAATATATAAACAAATGAATAAATAATTAAATGAAAAATAGATAAATCGATAAACACAAACGAATGAATAAATAAATATATTGATAAAATGATGAATAAATAATTAAATGAATAAAAGTAAATAAATAATTAATCAAATGAATAACTACATGAATAAATAGATAAGTGGATTATGGTAAATACATGAATGAATGGATGCATAAATAAATAAACGGATAACTAAACAACCACATGAATAATTACATGAATAAACAGATCAATTAATGATTGAATGAATAAACGAATAAATACATGAATAAATAAAGAAATATATCAATAAAACACAACCAACTAGATAAAGAAAGAAAGTGATGAGTGAATAAATAAATCAATAAACAGATGAGTAAATAAAAAAAGTACAAAAATGAGTAAATAAGTAAGTAAATGCATGAATAAATAAATAAACATGAGTGAATGAATAAAAAAAAATTGATAAATACATAAATAGAAACATGAACAAATAAATAAAGACAATTAAATAAATAAATAAACAAATAAATGAGTCAACAAATAAACAAAAACACAAATGAACCTAAATAAATGATTATCACTTGATTATCTGAGATGGCTGCAGTTTAGCAGACTAGTATTTCTACTGGTGACTGGCTCGAATCCAGCCGCTTTTCAGATTTTCATCTCACGTTCAATTATCACCCAGTATAAATAAATGAATGACTAAATCCATACATGAATAAATAAGCAAAATACATAAATAAATACATAAACAAAGGAATAAATAAATGAATGACTGACTGAAAGAATAAATGAATGGACATAAATAAATAAATAAATAAATAAATAAATGATTGAATGAGTAAACGAATGAATGAGCGAGCATAAGTAAATAATTAAATCGATAAATAAATGAATTAATTAATACGTGAATAAATAAATAAACATAAATATATGAAGATATGAAAAAATAACTAAATCAATGTACATGAATAAATGAAAAAAATAAATCAATAATTGAATGAATAAATAAATGAATACATGAATAAACACGTAATTACATAAATAAGTAAATGCATGAATAAATGAATAAATAAATAAATACATGAATAAATAAATAAACACATGAATAAATAAGTAAACACATAACTAAATATATAAATAAACAAATAATTGGATGAACAAATAAATGAATACATGAACAAATAAGTAAATACATACACGAATGAATGAGTAAATAAATAAATACATAAATACTAAATACATAATTAAATACATACCTGAACCAATGAATTAAATAAACAAATAAATATATGAATAAATAAGTAAATACATACATGAATAAATAAACAATTGGACGAATAAATAAATGAATACATGAACAAATAAGTTAATACATAAATGAGTACATACATGAATAAATCAGTAAACAAATAAATAAACAAATACATGAATAAATAAGTAAATACATACATGAACCAATGAATAAATAAATAAATAACTGAATGAATAAATAAATGAATACATAAATAAATAAATCAGAACTAAGTATTTTGCAACCTCGCCTGGTTAACTAGTTCACTAGTTACTAGCCAGTCCTAAGCCCTAAGCCCAGCAAAGCAGCCCAGATTGCAAAAGAGATGAGAAGGTATCACATCGAAGTGCTTGGGATTTGCGAAAGCAGATGGAATGGGAGTGGACTCTCCAAACTGTCAACTGGAGAATCAATAATCTACTCCAGTCACCCAGACGACAACCACGAGCACACTGAGTTATGGAGTGGCTATCATGATGTCCCCAAGAACATCGAAGGCTCTCATGCAGTGGGAACCAATCTCCTCCAGGATCATGACAGCAAGATTCAACTCAAAAGGAAGAAAGGTCACAATCATACAATGCTACACTGTGCACCTACAAATAAAGCGGAGCAAGAGAAAAAGGAGGATTTCTACAGACAACTTCAATCAACACTGGACAAGACGTCAGTTGGCGATATCAAAATTCTAATGGGTGACATGAATGCCAAGCTGGGAGGGGACAACACAGGAAGAGAACTAACCATGGGTCGAGAAGCACTCGGTGAGGTGATGAACGAGAATGGAGAATTGTTTGCAGAATTCTGTGCATTCAACGATTTGGTGATTGGAGGCAGTGTGTTCAAGTACAAAGATATCCACAAAGCGACATGGATTTCACCAGATGGACACACTAAAAATCAAATCGACTTTATCTCAATCTCAAGAAAATGGAGACGCAGTCTACTTAACACAAGGTCAAGAAGAGGAGCAGATGTAGGTTCAGACCACTATCTAGTGCAAGGAACCTTCCAAATCAAGTTAAAAGCCTTCAAGGAAGCTGGTGATAGACCTCAATTCAAGTACAACACTCGGAAACTGAAGGATGAAATTACAAAGGAGATCTTCACTTCAACCATCAAGACAAAATTGGGGATATCGAGGAACATCCCTGAAGAAACCTGTGTGGAAGAACACTGGAAGTCTTTGAAAGCTATGTGGAAAGAAACCTGCACAACCATATTAGGAAGGAACAAGAAAGAAGATAAGGAATGGATCTCAATGGATACATGGAAGCTGATAGAGGAGAGGAGGATGGTGAAACAGAAGATAAACCAGTGCATGGATGCTCAACGACAAGAGGAACTGAGTACAATGTACAAAACACTGGACAAAGAAGTGAAGAAGAGTGCTCGCAAAGACAAAAGACACTTCTACGAAACACTAGCAAGTGAAGCAGAACAGGCTGCAGGTTGGTAGGAGAGACCTGACGACATTGTATCAAATAACCAGGTTGCCATATGGGAAGAAATCAACGCAGACGAAACCAATAAAAGATGATGACGGAAATCTAATTACGAAAGAAGAGAAACAAAGGAAACAATGGGCCGACCACTTCAAGAAGCTCTTGAATCGACCACCACCACCACCTGCACTTCGTCCAGAAATACCACCTGCAGCCGCTGAACTACAAGGGAACATAAATCCCCCAACGAAAATGGAAGTCCTGAACGCCATAAAGCTACTGAAATGCGGGAAAGCAGCAGGACCAGATGGAATCCCACCAGAAGCACTGAGAACGGACGCAGAGACAACAGCGGACATGCTCACACCATTATTGCAGAAGGTGTGGAGGGAAGAGCAGGTACCTGGTGATTGGAAGAAGGGTTACCTTGTCAAACTGCCGAAGAAGGGAGACCTCAGTGCTTGCAAGAACTGGCGTGGAATCACCCTCCTATCCACCCCAAGTAAAATATTAAGCCGCATCATCCTGGAGAGAATAAAGAATGCACTGGATTCAAAACTGCGACCGGAACAGGCAGGCTTCAGGAAGTACAAATCATGTACAGACCAAATTGCAACGCTTCGCATTATCATAGAACAGAGCACAAAATGGCAATCAGCTCTCTACCTCAACTTCATCGACTTCGAGAAGGCCTTTGACAGCGTCGACCGAGAAGTAATTTGGAAACTGCTTCAATACTACGGAGTACCGCAAACCTTTATCCGCCTCATTCAACAACTATATGAAGATGCCACATGCCAAGTGATTCACAATGGGAAGCTCAGTGATGCTTTTGAACTGAAGACAGGAGTGAAACAAGGTTGCCTACTATTTCCCATGATATTCCTGATTGTGGTCGACTGGATCATGCAGCAAACAGTAGGCAGCGAGAAGAGGGGGATACACTGGACTGTGGAAAAGAACCTAGAAGACTTGGATTTCGCCGATGACTTGTGCCTAATGTCACACAAACTTGAAGATCTGCAGGCAAAAACTAACAAGTTGATAGAAGAGGCAGGTAAGACGGGACTTCAGGTGAATATAGAGAAGACAGAAGTGATGAAGATACCGCACCACCACCATCAACAACAACAACAACAAACTCCAATCACCGTCAACGGGAGAAACTTAAAGGAAGTAACCTCCTTCACTTATCTAGGAAGCACTGTCTCAACTACAGGCGGGACGGACGAGGACGTCAAAGCCAGAATCGGAAAAGCAAGACAGGCCTTCATTAGCCTGAAACCAGTGTGGAGATCTTCTGCACTCAGCATTCGGAACAAGATACGGATGTTCAACACCAACGTCAAGTCAGTGCTTCTGTATGGCTCAGAGACTTGGCGCTTCACGAAAGGGATTTCCAACAAACTACAGACACTCATCAACAACTGCTTACGCTCGCTACTGAAGATCAGATGGATCGCCAGAAAGAATAAGCAACAAGGAACTCTGGGAACGAACCAACCAAGAACCTATCACGCAACAAATATGCAGGAAGAAGTGGAGATGGATTGGCCATGCACTGAGAAGGCCGACTGGGGACATCACGCGTCAGGCCCTCGAGTGGAATCCTCATGGGAAGGGACGAGTTGGACGTCCAAGGGTGACATGGAGGAGATCGTGCGAGGAGGAAATGAGAGCTTCTGGGCTGTCGTGGGACCAGGTTCAAAAGATCTCAGAGAACAGAGATCACTGGAGGCGTGCTACTGAAGCCCTATGTTCCACTAGGAACCCAAGGGACTAATAATAATAATAATAATAATAATAAGTATTTTGCATCTAGCTAACCTTTTTCATCCAAAACACCAAATTTCCTATCTAAATCAGAACGCCAAGCTATACCATTTCTTAAAGTAGGAACAGACACCTTTGTACCATTTTGTCGTAGATATGTTATACTGAATGTATCATTGAATATACTGTTAGCAATTGCTCCACATGGAAGTATTGGTTTACTATTGATAGATGCATATGGTTCACATGAAGATAAAGCACTTGGATCTTGATATATACCGAGTAATTGTTCATCACTTTTAGATCTTGCATATCTTCGATGATTTTGATAAAAGTTTTTAAGACCATAATAGATAAAAACAGGTCCAGGTATTGATGTTTCAACAGTAATTTCTTTTAAACAAATACATTTTTCAGCTGTATTCATTATTATATCAGAGCATAATTCTTGAGAACCATTTCTAGTACAGTCTGTATAGTCTACATGATATTCGAGAACATTATTTGATGTTATTAGTAATATAACACCGATCGGTATTAGTATAACTCCGAGTACAATAAACATTATACCAGACTTTTTAGCTGTAAACATTGGTTGCCATGCTGGTAGCTTTTGTTGAAAAAATGGAGAATTTTTAGGTTTCCGTGATTTCACAGGAGAATCCAAAAGTGGTTGAACCATAATGAAGTTCGAAATATCTAAAATGTGAATATTAAAGGTGAAATGAATGAGATGGATACTGCAAACGCATGATTATTGTCAGTGTTTTCATTTTATTAATATTTGCCCTTGGGTTCCTAGTGGAACATAGGGATTCCGTAGCACGTCTCCATCCCACTCTGTTCTCTGCAATCTTTTGAACCTGCCTCCATGACTCCCCACAACCTTTCATTTCTTCCTCACACCATCTCCTCCATGTCACCCTCAGCTGGGATGCCCAACTAGCCGTTTCCCATCTGGGTTCCACTCGAGTGCCTGGCATGGCGCATGATGTCCCCGAATAGTCTTCTCATTGTATGTCCAATCCATCTTCACTTCCTTCTGTATATTTGTTGAGCGATAGGTTGTTGGTTGGTTCGTTCCTTGTTGCTTATTCTTTCTCACCATCTGAGCTTCAGTATCGAGCTCAGTGACGCCTTAGAGGTGAGGTGAAGACAGGAGTAAGACAACGCTGCCGCCTACTATCGCCCATAATCTTCCTGATTGTGGTCGACTGGATCATGCAGCAAACAGTAGGCAGCGAGAAGAGGGGGATACGCTGGACTGCGGAAAAGATCCTACAAGATTTGGATTTCGCCGATGACTTGTGTCTAATGTCGCACAAACTCGAAGATCTACAAGCGAAAACTAACAAGTTGATATAGGGGGCAGGGCAGCGAAGACGGGACTTCAGTGAATATAGAGAAGACAGAAGTGATGAAGATACCGCACCACCACCATCAACAACAACAACAAACTCCATCACCGTCAACGGAGAAACTTAAAGGAAGTAGTCTCTTTCACCTATCTAGGCAGTATCGTTTCAACTACAGGCGGCACAGACGACGACGCCAAAGCCTGGATCGAGAAAGCAAGACAGGCGTTCATTAACCTGAAACCAGTGTGGAGATCTTCTGCACTTAGTATAATGATGAAGAACAAGATTCGGATTTTCAACAGTAATGTCAAGTCAGTGCTTCTATATGGTTGAGAGACTCGGTGCGTTACGAAAAGCATTTCCAATAAACTACAAATATTCATCAACAATTGCCTACGCTGGCTCGATACTGAAGCTCAAATGGTGAGAAAGAATAAGCAACAAGGAACGAACCAACCAACAACCTATCGCTCAACAAATATACAGAAGGAAGTGAAGATGGATTGGACATACAATGAGAAGACTATTCGGGGACATCATGCGCCATGCCAGGCACTCGAGTGGAACCCAGATGGGAAACGGCTAGTTGGGCATCCCAGCTGAGGGTGACATGGAGGAGATGGTGTGAGGAAGAAATGAAAGGTTGTGGGGAGTCGTGGAGGCAGGTTCAAAAGATTGCAGAGAACAGAGTGGGATGGAGATGTGCTACGGAATCCCTATGTTCCACTAGGAACCCAAGGGCAAATAATAATAATAATAACAAAGTATCCATTTTATATGCACCAAAAGGCCTTCGAAAGCTATTCATTCCCTATGTTGATTACGACTTACATCCCATTTTGAGTGACTAATACTACATGAGCACTAACCACTGATTTGTTGACAATCATGACAACAGGGTAAATACATGAGTATGATGACTGATGAATGTTTAGTGTTGGTTGTGTGATGTTTTGATAGCATGGATAAACAAACTCAAATACCTTTCAAAAGGCTATTCACTTGACTAACAGACAGAGAAGCAAACGTATGGTCTAGCACAGAAGTATATTAGTTTAATTTGATAAACTTCACAGCAGCATATAAAGAGGCAGACAAAAGCGTATTAGTCATGGAAGAATAAACGAATGCACTCAGTAACCTTGTTCATATTAGTGCAGTAGGCAGTAAGTCACATCTATTGTATGTGAAGGCCAATGTTACTACCTACCTGGCTGCCCAAATTTTAGTAGGTGGAGTACAGTGTTCGAATTCAAAAACCAATCGCTTGAGAGTCAACTCCTTTAAAACTAATGAACCACAGCACTACAGATACATCTACATCAATGACCGATTTCGACCAAGATAAATGACACTAGGTTAATGATGGATCGTGGCTAGCAGTGGATTCCAAGATGCGCATTTCGTCCTGTTTGGGACTCGTCAGCTGGATGTACCTGCTTCCCAGTGGGTGATGTTGTTCCCACCGGATTCGGACTCAGCGGCTATCGCTTCAAACGTCAGCGCGTTATCCACTACATCAACGAGCCACGATAGCCACTTCTCGTGCGACGGGTATAGTTTTTAGTATAGTTGCTTTTATATGATACCGTCCTTGATTGGACGAATTGATCGGTCTCTATAAGCATATGGGCTCCTGTGCGGATGTCTAGGACGATAATGCGCATCCTGGATTCCACTGCTAGCCACGATGCATCAATAACATAATTAGGAACGCTGACAATATCGAGACATCCGCATAGGAGCCCATATACTAATACAGACCGATCAATTCGGTCCAATCAACGACAATATCATATAAAAACAATTATACTGACACTAGGTTAGCTTAAATCAACGATACGCTCTGAATGAATCATCAGATGGAGAGGAAGTGAATGTCTACTTTTCAATCTTTTATTTGATATCGAAATTGTTTTAAAATAAGGTTGAGGATTGGTTTCTTCATTACGCACAGAAAGCGTCAAACTATTTAGAAATACTGACTGACGAAATCAACAAAGAAACTCACACACAAGTGCATCACCTCAGATTACCACACATCACAGAAGCATACAAAAAACAGGTGGACAGAAAACCAGTGAAGCCAAAACAGGTAAAGTAGTGTGAGAGAACGAACAATCTGAAGATAACGGTTAGTGCATTTATTCAAGCTCTTAAAGGTATCAAAGAGTGAATACATTTGTGACATTTTTTGCGATTGATGTCCAACCATGTCACCATGAGTCCCCAACCAGTCAATCTTTTCGCTTCCACGACCCCAAACAGGCAGTCTACATCTCCCCAATGGACTCAGACCAACACTAAGAAACTTCATTGACTGGTACCAAGTCTTAATCTGGTCACCATGAACACCCATCCAACCTAATCCATCTTCCACCAGCATCGCAAGTAGAGGTAGACAGTGGATCAGCAAGCGCAGTATATCTTCAAGCCACTTCAGTCGACTAAGGTTCTCAACCTTATCAATCGACTTGTCTGTCTTACCTAGAACCCTTCACCTGTCCTCAACATGAAAAATACACGTATTGTCTGCAACCTGAACTAACGCCACATACACACATAGAACTCAGGTACGACTTACGTCCGTCATGGTCTCTCATCATCATCATCATCATTATCAACACAGGACCAGGCATCACTGAGTAACGTTCCGAGTTGCCACACCTCATGGTCTCTACTACCTTTCTGAGCAGACTGAAGGTTTAATACACGTAAAACTGAATATCATCCATCTATGTCTATGATAGTTATCAGTTTCATTTGGTGCTGGGAATCTTCTGGACATGTGCGATGAGACTTAACGTATCAACACTTATTAAAACAATGGTGAATTTTAAAGATTAAGCTGAACTCCTGAGTTAGTTCAGTCAAAAATAAAAATACTCTCAGAACAATCTTGTTCACATTCATACAGCAGGCGATAATGAGCGACATCTATTGTGTGTCACGGTTAGTGATGCCACTAACTGGCTGTACAAACCTCGATAAGTGGAGCGCAACACAAATCTGTCACTCATTGGTTGAAAAGTCAACTCCTTTGACCAATGAAAACGGTTGGTGTTACTCCCGTGGTGACACCACGAAATACAGTCTATGCTGCGAAGGCAGTGGAGGTCAAACAAATGAAGCCTTCTCATGTCCTATACCTTTAATGTCTATCTTTCACAGCCATACAGTAGAATAGAGCGGACTACAGTACACTACACTCAACCCCTGATAGACATTCCGATATCGCGTCGGCGACACAGATGGTGTAAGTTGGCAAAAGCTAACCGAGCCTTTTATATCCGTGCACAGATTTCATCCGCCACTGAAAAATGCACCAGGGTTGAAATCCGACTTCTCAGATAAGTGAAGTGTTCAATGTAGTCACTCACTTTATTATTGCCATCATCATCATTATTAATATCAGCATAGGATCAGGCATTACTGCATAACACTCCGAGTTGCCACACCTCATATAATAACTACATCAATTAGAAAGGTAATGACGTCCAAGATGAAGATGAGAAAATTCAGTCAAAAGAAATATAAACTACCAAAAGACAGAAAACGAAGAATGAGGAAATGGTGACATTCCGTATAGCATCGTTAACATGACGATAATGTGTGTCGGGATACATCTGCGCCACCAACATCCGTTCTCAGCCATATCACCTACAGTCAGTCAGTCAGTCAGTCTCCAACCACTGGTTCCTCTTGTCCCACGGACACCAACCACCACTAGTCTGCATCACCCCCACATGGCTCAAACCAACAGTCAAACACTCCATACATTGGTGCCATGTTTTAGTCTGGCCACCTCCACCCTTTTCCCAGCCTGGAACAACTTCCACCAACATTGTGTGACGAAGCAATCGACGACTAGGCATACATAACACGTGTCACAACCATCCATCTCAATCGATGAAGGTTCATAACATCGTCAACTGATTTACCTCTACTCCCTCGCTAAAACTCTATACCTCACTTCTTCATTGCTCACTTGGTGACACCAAGGAATACGCCTATACACTAAGAAGGCAACGGTAGTCAAACACCTGAAGCCGCCTTTTCATGTTTTCCACCTTCAACGGCCATGTTTCACAGCCATACAGCAGAATAGAGTGGACTGCAGTACTGTGCAGTACACGCGACCATTAATAGACAATAGGATATCACGCGGCGCCATAGGTAGCATAAATTGGCAAAAGCCAATCGAGCCTTTTGTATCCGTGCTGAGATATCATCGGCCACTGAGCTAGCCACCAGGGCTGATCCTTTTTCCCAAGTAAATGAAGTGGTCGACACACTCAACCACTTCATTCTCTATTGTTAGCCGTGGCACCGTTGAAGACCAATCTCAGAGCAACAATTTGCATTTGGGTGGTGAGAAGGCCATCCGAAACATTCTCAAACTCCCACTCAAAGTGTTCAGAAACTCTGCATCTTGTCAGCGTCTTCACCTAACAGGACTTTGTCATTTGCATATTCTAGGTCTAACGAATATTCTCCACCGATTAGGTCGACGTCTGTGTAATCAGGTGAAGAGAGGGAGACCTCCATAAGAATATCTATGATAAAATTGAATAGGAATGGAGACAGTGGGTACCCCTGACGGATACCACTCGATGAGCACATCAACAACATCAAAGTTTTGAAATAGTTAGTTTAAAGTCTGATATTTCATTAGACCTACAACTTTCTTGACTTTAGGCACGAAATTCCCATAGTACAAGAACAATATGTTATCGTCGAAGTATTCAACTTCATCGACATCAAACGTGGAACCATGGAAAGCTAGATAACGATGAACTTGTTTCATGTTAACAAGAAAGAACTCAACAGTTCCCGCTTATTACCCCACATATTACGGTTGGGACAGACAGTGAACACATGAGTTACAATTCAATAAGTAGTATTTTTTAACTCTTTATTTCATGACCATAACTAAAACAGGCATCCATAATTAAACGTCGCCAAATTTGATATAACAGATATCGATCTAGCACTAAAACTCTGAGAAATTCATCCCGAAGCAATTCCAAAGTAAGTATTCAGGAAGACAGACAAATAAAATCAATGATGACCTCCCATACAGTTGCATTGGCTCAAATTATCACACTTCACAGTAGTATACAAAAAACAGGTGGATAGGAAAAGTGATGCCAAGGTAGATAAATTTGTCAGAGAAAAAACAATTTGAAGATGACAGTTAGCGCAAATATTCAAGTTTTTGAAGACTTCAAAACAGTGAATTAATATATCTGCACCATTGTCGCTGATTGATGTCCAGTCGCACCAACAAGAGTCCTCAACCACTCATTTCTTTAGCTTGCAGGACCCCAACCAGGCAGCCTGCATCTCTGCACTCGACTCAGACCAACACTAAGAGACTTCATTGACTGGTCCCAAGTCTTAGTCTGGTCTCTGAATCCTCATCCCATCTTATGCATCTTCCTCTTAAATAGCATGTGGAAGTAAGCAGTGGATCGGCATGCGCGGTGTATGTCCAAGCTACCTCAGTCGACTAAGGTTCACAACCTCATCAATCGACTGGTCTTTCTTGCCTAGTATTCTTCGCCTGAACTCAACATTGCTCAGTGTGATCCCACTATACGCCAACGATGCTATGAAGACACCTGTGATCATAACCCTTTGACCGCTTTAATTTCAACGGCCATGTCTCATTTGTATAACAGGGCAGAACGAAATCAAGCTCAGTATACTCATCGTTTGATAGATAGTCGGACATCTTTACCAGTCGGTGCGATAGATGACGCAAGTTGGCAAATGCGAAATGATTCTTCTGTGTCCTAGCTGAGACTTCGTCAGCAACCACCTTATTCGAGTTGATACAAATTCCCAAGTACGTGAAGTGAGCGACACATTCCTTCATTTCACCCTATTATTAAACTGGCAGTACTTGCAGAAGACCAATCGCGGAGTATCCGCCAACTTACATCTGACAGGTGCCAGCGAAACGCATGCCAAACATATTCAGATTTCTGCTTAATCCGTTCTGAAGACACTACATTTTGTCAGCGTCCTCACTTGGCAGGCCGTTAAACGTAGAAGGCAAAAAGCAGTTAGAGGTGTCTGATCATGTGTGCTTTAGCAGAATTGCTCACGTTACGTTGAATCACTGTAAGAGCAATGTTGAGGTCAGGTGAAGAATACTAGGCGTGAAAGGTAAGTCGATTGATGAGGTTGCGAACCTAAGTCGACTGAGGTAGCTTGGAGAGGCACTACTCATGCTGACCCAACCACTGCTCACCTCAACGTCCTATTTTAGAGGAAGATGGGTTAGATGGAATGAGGATTCAGGGTGGCTAGATCAATACCTGGTACCAGTCAATTAAGTCTCTTACTACTGGGCAGAGTTGTGTGGAGGGATGTAGACTCTTTGGTTAGGGTCCCTACACGAAAGGAATGAGTGGTTGAAAACTCTTGGTGACGTAGCTGAACATCAATCGGTAATAATGGCGCAAATGCATTAATTCACTCTTTGAAGTCTTATAAAGTTTGAATATTTGTAATATTGTGAAGTGTAGCAACTTAAACCAATGCATTTGTGTGCGAGGTTCAACTTTCATTTTGTGTCCACTTTTACAATTTCCGAATAATGGTTGTGGAATTATGGATCATGTCTGCCGAAAGTATGAGCATATGTGAACGTCGTACATCCCTTCAGGTATGGTTGGCGAAACCATGTCAACAGTTATTCTATGTTGAACGTCTTGGTTAGTCACTGGCTTCGGAATGCTATTGTTTATAGTTGCCGGTTTGGTAGAAAACAGATAATCACATGGATATCTAACAAACAGGTGTAATAAAGTAATAATCGTCAAAAGGGCCTTGATACCACCTTCAAAACATACAAAATAGTCTTCGAATTGCCCAATTTGAAGCCTTCACATATAAAGATAGTAGGCCAAGTAGCCTATATTTTCCTTGGTAGTGTATATGTCTGGGAAGATTCAGTTTCTCCTTGAAGGCGTTCACTGTAGGAGCAACTAGCACAAGTTTCAGTAATACGATTCAATCCTTGGCAACCCTTTGAGAGAATATGAAATTAACTCCGTCATCAGAACCAGGGACACTACAGATCAAGGCGCTTATACTGGAAAGACACACAAGACCATGAACCGTAAGAAGAAATCTACCACTTCGTAAAGGACCTATAAATTAACTTGAAGTTCCGCGGGCTCTGAAAAACTGTGTCCCACAGCCGAAACACCGTCCCAGTTCTTCTCACTAGAGTTGGCCTGAAGTTGCCCAGGTATGTCAGTCTTGATTCTCGTTAAATTGGAACCCTTCAAATGGGGAAATGATAAGATTTGAGCTAGTCTGTAAGTGATGACGAAGTTATAACCGGAATACCCTATCATTTGATAACCACCCAGCTGGTAAAGATAAAGTTTGATTAAGTCTACGGAGGTGGCCCCGTATCTGAATCACGATAGACACCCCATTCGTTCATGTATATGGGAGTCAAACTCAATCAGTATGGTAGACATAATCCCATTTTAATCAGTTAATTAGAAACGCCACACAGTGGGACAATATCACTAGTTGGATGACGTTGTGAACAATGTATTCCAGTGATGCACACACATAATATTTAGGGACTGATTTTTTAGCGATAAATTCACATACGAACCAATATTTAAGCTCCTTACAGCTTAGTATATGTGCTAATTTACATATTTGCTAACCATGTCTGGAAGTATACGACTGTTATCAGTAAATTTTTATTGACAAGTTTACACACGATGGCAAGTTATCTTGACGAAAGTATTTCCCCTGATCACATCAACATTTGGAATCTTGAGATAATATTTATAATATATTAAACCACTCCATAGTGCAAAAACCTTTCATCGAAGCATACGAACACTTACCGCTCTTCCTGAAGTTTCGGACTAGCGCCACGAGTATGTGCAATGTACAATATCCCAAACAGTGTTTTTCAACTCATGAATCAAGGTCATAAGGTATGAATCTTTTCCTGTTTGACACTCCCTACTTTAGGTGTGAAAGCCCTATATACCCTCTTGCTTCTACCTTGCCGAAATTATTCTAACCATACGTTTTTTACTCTTTGTATCCAATATCTTTTTAACCAGCTTGTGTAAACCAATTGATTTCTTCCCGCTCGCTTCTTGGTCTTGCGGAACGGCTCCAGATCTTTGGCGGGTTCCAATGCAGTAGGTCCAGCCACTCGTCTGCTATAGCTCTGATTTGCAGGACAGGAAGTGTCTGTTTGTTTGCTTTGGACTGTAGTGCAGTTGGCTTCATCAGATGTCGAGTTGCCAGACAGTTGTTAGGACTGGTCGCTAGAGAGGGTAGGGGATAGTGAAGAGAAAACCTGTAGATGCTTGTGTGAATAAAAGAAAACAGTAAAAGTGAACTAATGGAGTAATCTACTTACACCCAAAAAAGGTGAGTAGGGGTGCAAAGGTATGCAGAACTTAGGTAAGTGAGGCTAACTTATGGCAAGTGGAAGGGGTGAAAAGGGCTTAAATGGTTACAACAGAAAGAGTACCGGTTGGGGTGGCTTGACATCACATCGCGTTCCAGCTATGCGTGGGTAGACCGTGAGTCTGTGTGCGACTGTCCAGCCTCTTCTTGGAGCTTTCAACAGTTGGGGCGGAGACCACCTCTGCTGGTAGTGCGTTCCAGTACCCACAGACTCGGAGGGAGAAGAAAAGTGGACGCACATGCGTTTTTGACCCCTGGTGTGCTGTTCTCTTGCGGTTTCCTCGAGGATCTCCACAGTGGCCACTCAGTAGAACTCCCCTGTTTGAGTGACTTGGGTTACTGATTATTTTGTAAGCCATTACTAAGTCGCCACGTATCCTTCGATAGATAAGGGAGTATAGACCTAGGTCTTTGAGTCTATCCTCATATGGTTTTCGTTGCATTCCAACAACCCCTTTTGTGGCTCGCCTCTGGACTTTCTCCAGTAAGTTCGCACCTCTTTCCAGCTGTGGTGGAGCGAAGACACTATGGACTTCTAAGTGGGGCCTATGTAAGTCTTGTAGAGATTCAGAAAGAGTTCTGGGGTGAGGGCACCCAGTTGTCTACGCACAAAGTGTAGTACCCCATATGCTTTTGAGACGTCGCCTGGGTAATTGGAACTGCTGTCCAGTTTCTCCGTCACCGTTAGACCCAGGTCTTTTTCTACTGTGGTATGGGATAGATGTGAACCACAGAGATAGTAGGATGTTTTCTGGGGATCAGAAGTGCGGAAAAACATGGACCAGCACTTATCCAGATTAAATGCCAGTTGGTTATTATTTCCCCGTTCCTCTAGTGTTCTGAGGTCCTTCTGTAATGCCATAGATTCCACCTCACAAGTTATTGCCCCCCATAACTTGACATCATCGGCGTATAGGAGAACTGGGGAGCTGATATGTTGCGGCAAGTCGTTTAAGAACAGTAGGAACAACAGTAGGCCCAAGATTGCTCCTTGTGACACACCGGATGAGGGTGTTCTCCAAGTTGAGTAGACCCTGTTGACTTTCGTGCAGAACTCCCTGTTGTCTAAGTAGTTCTGCAGCCACGATAGCACCTGGCTGCGAATACCTAACCCAGCTATCTTATGTATTAGGATATGGTGTGAGACGGTGCCAAAGGCTTTGGCGAAGTCCAGAAAAATTGCGTGGACCGGGACCTTGAGAACCCAGCATGCCGTCCAGAGATCATGGGCCATCAGGAGGTTGGAGGCACAGGACCTACCCTTTCGGAAGCCATGTTGAGCGTCAATGAGTGTCCGCTTGGTGTCCAGATATTCTCTGATGCGGCCGTCCATCACACTTTCCATTGCTTTTGATGTTACTGGCAGAAGTGCTATGGGTCTATAGTAGTTGGGATTCTGTCTCTCCTCCTTTGAGGATGGGAGAAAGGATGGCCCGTTTCCAATCTTGTGGGAGCTTCCGCTCATCGAAGGAGAGTTGGAAGAGGTTGCAGAGTGGGCCACTTAGGTACCTGCACATCCTTTCAACACAGATGAGGGAATGTCGTCGCACCCTAGGGGATTTTCCCGCGCTTAACTTTAAAAGCTTGTCGAGAACAACGGCGCTGGTTATCTGTATTTCGTGTGACTCAATAGCGTCGGGTAACGTTGAGGGCTGTTCGTGCGATTGGTATGCGCACTTTCTTGATGGAATGTTGAGCTGTGTGTCAAATGTGGCGCTCAGCATCTCAGCAATCTCCTGTCCAGAAAGGTTTTCTCCGTTCGGACCTTCTATGACACATGCTCCTTGGCTTGTCGATTTTCTTTTCGCCATGAATCGGTAAAGGTTTTTGGGGTCTGCCTCAAGCCCTTCCCTTTTCTATTCTGTCCTTTTGCTGCATTCAGTCTTCAACCCTCTTATTGTTGTTAACTACTTGTTTTCCCAAGAAGTTTATATCATAGCGACATGTCTGCCCAAAACGCTAGGTCTGAAGCTTTGACACGGATAACGCGGTCGTGCACAACAACGGCCAGTAACACCCTAAACAACACACTAGTCTGTACTAGAAGACAAACAGAGGTAGGGCAGAACACCGAACTTCTAAAGAAGTGGCCAACCCATGTTTCTAGAATTCCAGTCGCCATCAGACAGGTGACACAGAGAAGCACTAGCCCGTCACAAACTAGTCCTATCTTGAGCAAGGATCATACCATGCCTGAAATAGAAGACGACGTAAAAGGCTTCAGAACAAGGCAGCCACAAGCAGTTCGCCACAATCCGTAGCACCTTATTCATGGAAGGAAGGCTGTATTACGACACCCGATGGCTGCAGTGTTTGCACCAAAGTTGTTTCGGTAGTCGATGAGGCATTTGCATGCAACCTGTGTCAACGATGGGCGCATTGCCACTGCGATACCAAAGTCCCCCGACAATACTATAAGCTGATGAAGAGACAACCATGCAAGTGGTTCTGGTACATCTGTCCAGAGTGCAGGAAAATGCCCGCACTCCGCACAGAAAGCCTGAAGGAGATGCTCTCCGCCACGCAAAAGCTACCAGCATCCTCGAATAAAGTAGGGTTAACACCAAAGGATAACACAGAGAGACCTGGAAACAGACCTAGAGCTCCAGCTGTGGGCACGCCACCTCGCGTGGGGACCATATTAGGTCAAGTCTCCATACCCCCTACCCGGCCCCAGGGGACGTCAAGCGCATGGCCAAAGACATCGACCGCCGAAGCCTCTACGAAACCCATTCCGAACACCCCACACACCGTGACTGAGAAACAACCAGTGGAATTACTCAAACCCATTGGGAAGTCGGGCGTGCCACCCACAACGAACCCAGGTCACAGGAGGACCAACTCGATCATTTTGTTCAACGTCGATGTATCGACAGACTCATTGTTGGTCGAGAGGGAACAATTTGACAGCCGAATGTGGACCGACTACTGTCAGATGCTGGGACTCCCTCCCCTCCCTGCAACTTTATGTCGCCTTTCTCGAGGAAGCCATGCACCCCGAGATAAGCCACCCCCTTTACGTGTGTCCCTAAATACCGCCAAAGAGGCTGAAGACACACTCCTCCTCTCGCGACAACCGGACGTTGTTAATGCCTGTAAAATTCGGGCCAGGCCTGACAAGCCATGGTCAGTAAGAGAGGAGGAGAGAAAGTCAGCGGTTGGAAATCCCAACAGAAACAACACTATAGTTGTACATGGGATTCCAGAATTGCCAAGTGACAGCTCGGTCAAAGATCGGTACTTTCACGACGTCCAACAATGGCAATGGCTCTCAACCAAAGTTGGTCTCAACAGTATACCGGCCAACAGCGTCAGTAGACTGCCAAGGCCAGCGCACCTGAAGACCATACCCAATCCCAGACTACTTGCCGTCCAGTTCGACTCATATGCCTCCCTCACAGACGTTCTGCACGCATGGTATAATGCGAAAGATCGCATGGGTGGCTCAATACGTATATGTGAAAGTAAGCCTAGACCCACAAGGCAAGAGGAGAGACGGCAACCACCAAGACCTCTGGAGTCAGTGGTCGTCACACAGGCGCTGACCAGTGAGTTAGATACATCAAGTAAAGAAGCCACCACTGCTACAGCCCCCACCCAAGTTAAGAACAAAACACAAAAAAACGGAACAATGCCAGTCCTATGAGGACTGGCGAGGCTAAATTCAACCACGTAAGCGCTCATCCCGCGAAAATACACATCCAGACCTCCCCTCTCATCAGGCACACTCTAATATGTATGTACAGCAACGTTAGGGGGCTAATAGGGAAGGTAGCAAAAATGAGGACGCTGCGTGAACATCAGCACTACGACATCATATTCATCACCGAATCCTGGCTCTCATCGGACATCTCCGACGAAGAGATGCGTGTTGCTGGCATGGAACTCTTCCGCAGGGACAGGGAACATAGAGCAGGAGGGGGAGTGGCTATCTACGTAAACTCCTGTTTAAAGGCAAGGATGGTTAGCGATACGGCCTTAACCCAGCTCCCAGAGTCTCTATGGTGCTACTTCACTCTCTTCTTTATTCTCTCTTCATTCCTTTACCACTACCTTACTATTCTCTTTCAGGTACCTACACAGACAGGAGTCATGGCAGTTCTCTAAACTTCCCAGCAACCCGTAGCTCCCTAATCACTCTACAAATTACAACCTACTAACCCACAAAACATCCACCTCACCGAAGCTAAAAGCAAGAAAGCAGAGGGGATTTCCTCGTCCACTGCAGGAGTAAACCGAACAACTGGAACCAAGCCCTAAGAACTAGACGCGAGAGATCAAAAACTACCAGTTTTCTACGCTCGCACTATCAATATTGGATATTGGAAGCCTTTCGGCGAAGTTGGACTGGAACGACCTCCTGTCTCCCCGCACCCTTATATCGCTTCGATTCCGCAGAGTCATGTTTGCGTCATGGTCGTCCTGTTCTCTGGAGAGTTTCCATGTGTGCCATGCCTTTCTCTT